CTAAAATACTATATACAAAAGTGTTGAAATAGTATGCTTATAATCCAACAAGAGCCTAACAATACAAAACCTACATTTAAAATAACACTGAGCACGATGAACTTGTTGTAGATGGTTATTCACACTATATTAAATTAGAATACTTGTTAACATTGTAAAAAATAATCAGTTTTACGAATATAAGTTTCTAAAATTTTTAATTCTTATCCTATTTAATAATTACTTTGCTCGGCAGAGAAAAGCTATTTACTATTTTTTTTAAAGATAACTTCATATAGTAGGTCGGTTAGACTAAAAGGCTTTATGAATATTTTGGAGAAACAGAGTTATATTTAAAAAAAAGTTGTAAGCTATATTTTAGGATACTTCAAACTCAATGAATGGAGGTTATTACTTTAGTGGAAAGTAAGAGTTTCTTTTTATATTAGTTTAATATTCTCATGGTATTATTAGGGTTTGAAAATGGTTAAAAAAAAATCTGAGGGAGGAACAATCTAGTCACACAATGTTGAATAGTTTGCCCTATTTCTATTCTAATGTTCCCACTATTTAGCCTTCGTTATAACCTAAATTTTAACTCCACCTGAGGTCAATTCTTTGATAAAAGGCTCGCGTCCGATGCAAAGCTCCTCTAATCTCATATTTTTTACAGTGAAGCGCGCTTACTTCTCTTTTTATATGACCTTGACTTTGTTACGTTCATAGTTCTATTAGAATTCTTTTTCTGTTTCATATATTATTATTTCGATTAAAATAAATTGTACTTAATAGTCAATTACACTTTTATTATTCTTCTTATGGTTTCAACTTTGGCGTGCTTTATCATTTTAATGGATCCCTTAGACCTTTTATGTTGCACTAGCTAAAATATGATTATAAATTTTCGTGAGCTGCTTTAATGATGGTTGGCTGACATATAATTGAACTAAGTGTGGTATATATTATTTATTCTTTTATAAATTTATCAGCATATATACTTAACTTAAGAATACGTATTATACACTTTTTACATCCTCTACCTTTAAAGTGGCTTTATTAGAAATTAACCACTTTGTCCAGTAATAGGTGATACAAAGTTTTTATCTGGGCTACGGTCATGCTTGAGCTTTTTTTTTTTTATTGAGCTTTAATTAAATTATTTAATAACGTTGTTGTCTTTAAGCGTAATTAACTCCCTCGAGATTTAAAAGTGATCCCTCATCGACTAAACTTAAAGTTGTAAATTTAATAGTTCTTTAACAATTTTAATCACAAGAGTAAATGGCACTAATTTTCTATTTTTTATTATTAGTTTCAAATTCTTACCTAAACAGTTAAAAGGAGTTAACAGTAGAATGCTATAACTTCGAAATTTTTTTTAGGATAGCAGCCTAAAAACCAATAATTTATGAATTTTTTTCTTTTGAAAGTTCGTGGAGCTGGTTACGAAAAGTATTGCACTTCACTAAACAGAAAAATGAAGACATCTCTCACCCAAGCTACGCGTTATCAGTTTAATTTCCTAGTATACCCGCCTATAAGTTGAAAATGTTGGAAGACCTGTTAGACTCTTGTGCAATTTTTACCCCTCCAGAAGATACTCAGACGCCATGCCTTTAATGTTGTGTTCACAACTTTCATAGGATAATTACTCATCTAGGGCAAAACTATAAATTCTTTTTGACGATAGTTCAGTCTAACTATGCTTCTATCGTACTCTTAAAGTCGCTTTGCTAGTTTTTAAAATAAAAATTAGTCTCTTAGGAAAAATTGAGATATATAACGTTTTCTTTAAGGTCAGTGAACAATTCTTTCTTCTAAAAATGTAATACATATTTATATTCATAATTATAACAGGTCTAAATATTAAAGGTAAGATGGCAGGGATTAAAATATTTAAGGACTAATTTTTTGACGTGGTAAGGAGTCTGATTTGTGAAATTTAAAAACAAAACAAGGAGATATTGGTAAAGTCGGTTATTTAAAATCACAGAAAATAGGAAAAACACGAATATTTTCAGTTTGCCATTCGTGGTAGCTGAATAAAATTGTTAACGAAAAATTCCTTGGAGAGGAAAACTTTTTCAAGATGTACAAACTAATAGCCACCGTTTTGTTATATACTAAAGTTAAAAAGCCTTATCCTTGGGTGGAGGTAGTCAGAAATTACTTTAGCCATATGGACGCGACGGAGGAGTGTCTACTCTGGACTGGCGAAACCTACATAACCCGACCGCTTTGAAGAAAGGGCGACAAGGAGATCCTCTTCAGCTTAATTCTCCCTTGGCAACCCAAGTTAAAGACATTCATCAAACACCGCTTTTTAATGGTAAAGTTGTCGTGCGGCAAAGATTTTTATATTTCTTGTCAAAAGGGCAAGAAAACTGCCGCCCTTGAACCACCACGTCAGATTCGTCTTGCAGTATAACCTCTCAGGAACTAGTGTAAAGAGCGATTAGTTTTGCGACTGGTTTGTCGTGGCCCCATGGGACAGGTGCTAGTTCGCTCTTAAAAAATTAATAGCAATAGCCAGTAGAAGCGGAGGCAGGTATAATGATAGCTGGAAACTTTGTCCAGTCTGTGGTTGACTATGGCCAAGCCTTTGCTGATCCTATAAGAGACCTTCCAGTTTCACGCTCGATGTCAACAGGTGAAATCCTTTAAATAAGCTATGTAGAGAATGTCTAGAGTTCCCGTTCTAACGTGCGCGTTGGGCGTCGAGGTATCGGCACCCAAAACTTTTGTTTCATAGGTAAGACTACCCCTCCGCTATGCTTCCGTTCAGATTTCTTACTGGGGGCTGTACCAAGCAGCCTGTTTGCGCAAGTCGCGTTGCGGTAGGAAATCCAGATCACTTGCGGGCAGCCTGTGGTCGGGAGGTTATCAGACCAAAATTACAGAAAGACAAGACTCCGCGCTGCCTTTTGACCGATGTAGAAGAAACTATTACCCGAGCACAGTCAATATAATAGTTGCTATAACCCAACCCATCTTGACCCAAAGCGAACTCAAGCAAGTATCGCCTTCTTAACCTACTTTCGGGCAGGAAACAAAACTGTTAAGATTTATTTTTTGCAACGCGCGAAGTGCTTCCAGTAGTATAATATATGTTTTGAAGAGGCCATTCAAGCACACAACACACCCTTTCTACGCTAAAAAATCTTTTGACCGCGTATGACCCGAGAGCTTTTTACGCGTATTACGCCGTCAGTCCTCGTCTGCATAAACGAAATTTTTTTTTTTTGCGGGTGTGCCTTCAAGTAAATATTGTCGCTGCGCTTCGGGTTTCGGGGGTTTGCAACTATTATTTTGCAAGGCTCTCTGCAATTGCTCCTGTTCTATGTGCCGTACAAGCGGTAGTTTTCAATCCCTGCATCGCGCTTTACTCCAATGATACTGAAGATGCGCCACGTAAACGAAGTTCATACTGCTTACAGCACCAATGGCAACGCTTTTAAAAACACTTGCTAGATGATGCTGGCAGTAGGGAACACTACATTAACATAAACGAAAGCAGTACGCTTTCCCTTCGAGGTGCATTGCCCCATCACCGTCCTTAACTCTTCAAAGTGACGTTAAGATTATTATTCGACTAACTTGGTAGCTATACACCGAATACGTTGCAGAAAAGCTTGTTCTTTACCGGCCTATTATGGCTTAAGCGTCTTCCTTTTGGACTTACGATGAAGCATCAACGGTTATACTTTGCAAACGCGGAAACGTGCGTCTGCGACTTATTCTGTTTTTAACACGTTGCACGACTACTTGAGTTTGTATCGACCCATAAATCCTTTTTATAGTGCTACTGCTGCTAGCTTTGAACAATCAATACGCATTTAAACAGTTAGCAGGTTTATGAACTTAAAATTATTGTATTCGTTCAGACATCCGCAACGAGCTCTATGCATACACTCATTCAAGTTTATATATAAAATGGATGGTGGAACTAAAAAATGTATTACGCACTAATATAAAAAATATTTGCAAGTCTAAACAGTCTGCGCTAAATTATAGCGAAAATTTGTTCTAATTGTTTTAATGAAATAGTATTTGTAAGCTCTGTCCTTCCGCTGAATCTTTGTTTGCTTACCCCTATTCTCCACGAATTTACTGCATTAGGTCCGTTTAACTTATTTGTTTAAAAATTTTAACAGAACTACAGGACGCAATTGCAGGTGTAGTGAGTACCCCTTAGAGGAATTTGGAGTAAAGCGAATAACTATTGCGGTGATAAAAGTTTTAATAATGATAAAATTAACTAATCGATGTTTTTTTTTTTACAATAAAATTTAGAGTTAATACTTCGTAAAACCTTCCTCTTGTCTTAGAATTTTTATAGTCATTCCTATATCTCTGTTTTGGCTGTCAAATTTATAACTTAAAAAAGGAATATAAACAAACAATAAGACTTTTTATTTAGAATTTTTTAATTTAGCAGTCAAAAATCTACTGATTAGGGAAACTTCTATGCTAAAAGTAAATTTTTACTTAAACTTTTAAACGCGAAGTTTATAATTAAGGCCCTTAAGATAGTGGAAAATACATTCCTTTTAATAAGAATGTTTTGAGATCGGAAGTTTTGAGAAAAAGCGCTAGAGTTGACCCCAATGAAATAATGTTAACACTTAACTAAAAGGGTGTATTTTGATAATTAAACCTAAATACTTTTTTTCAAAGATAAGGATAAAAGTATAAAGCTTTTTTACCTAGGAAATGCATACATCATAAACATTGCTAAGCACAGCAAAGGGGACAAAATACACACTCTTTTTGGTTACTAGCAGAGTAGCTAGCTTTGACAGAACGATTGTCAACCTACTTTAACAATTCTAAGCTGCCAATAATGATACCTATGTATGTTTGTATATTTCTGCTACAAGCGAGTGTGCTACATTTTTACTAACGCTTATAAATTACTAAAAGAAGCTGCTGTAACATTTCAGTCTACACCTCATAGGCATAAAGAGGAGCCCTAAAATTCTATCATCCCCGCTTTTCAGTGAGTTGTCAATTCTTAAGACTTTATTGCTTGTAAGTTGAGAAACGCTGTTAGTTGAAGATGCCTTCGGAGAAGGACTTGTAGTCGTAGCCGTCTTGCACTCCCGGATACGGCTTCAACTTGGTCAAAGCGAAGTCTGCCAGCTCTTTTTTAAGGTCTCTGCGCAGCTCCGCTTCAGTGATGTAGTCCTTGTCGCCGGCGAGGGTGCGGAAGGACTCGACCAGCTGCGCCATCGAACCTTCATCCTTCTGTTCCCGCGAGATGATGTCCGTGAAGGACTCGAAGGACACTCCGCCGTCCTTTTCGCCGTTGTCTTGCCAAAGCTGCTCAAATTTGGCGTCTCCCTCGCCAAGATCGTAGCCCACAGCCAGAATGGCAGAGCGGAAGTCGTTCTTGCCCAGCCGCCCAGACTTGTCGTGGTCAAAATGGTTAAAGGCTTCTTTATACTCCTTCATTTGCTCCTCAGAAATGCCCGACTTATCCCGCATTAGAATTTGATTCTGAATGGTCGTAATATTGCGGCGAACGGCGCTGGCGAGCTTATCGTACTTTTGCACAAGCTCCGAAGTGGAGTACATCGCGTAAGCATTCTGGAATATATTAGCATCCTGCAGTCGCTTGTCTAGTTCGTTGCAAACGTCCAGCTCCGGCTTGCATTCCGCCACTTCCTCGGCGTAAACATTGGCTGCGGAGAGCTGCTCCTCGAGAGATCCCGTGGGAAGTACGGAGATGCGGGAGCTTATGTCTTCCATGCGCTTTCCCAGCTGTGCCGCGCAGTGGTGTAGTGCACAGAGGCGCACGTGATTTGCTAGGCAAGAGAAGCAACCTTATTGGCGGGTTCCGCAAATTGCAAGCGAAGAGACTCGCAATCTTCCTGGCGGGATTTTTCTTGGGTCAGTTTTTCCCGGCGGGCAGCCACCGCGTCTTTAATCTGACATATGCATGTCCCGTTTACATTATACACAAACCGTGCACGTGACCATAACAACCTCTTGCCACATGGTCTGGATCGACTCACGTGTGTGCGGGGTGTACTGATTGCTAGTAATGCCGGCCTCTTCCATCTGCTTACTGACGGCCGCAATTTCATCAAAGTTAGACTTTTTGTCTACAGCAAAACCATCACAAGCCAGCACAAGAAAGCCATAAAGCTCTACTTGAGATGTCCCGCTGGATTTCCTCGAAGGCCGCTTCCTCCTGCGCGACGTCGTCCATGCTGGAAGTTGTGATATCCTCCATCAGTTCTTCGGAAGTCGCTTCAGTCCTACAGACTCATCATCGTTACAAACACCTCTAGCATTTTTATTTAAAGCTCACCAGGAACTAATAGAAGCGGCCAACTTTGCAAAGTTTAAGCGCAACTCGTCCAACCTCTGCTGCTTCAAAAGTTCTTCTTCCAGTTGTTTTTTTCGTCTGGAGCCAGCCTCTTTTTTTTTTAACAGCATTTTTTTGTCTTATTAATAAGAAAAAAAGAAAAAAAAGAAAAACCGTTAAGTTCGGACCAGTCTTCCTGAATCTTCCCATATGTTTCTTTTATGTCCTCGACTTTTTCGTAATCTTTTTTATAATTTATGACAATAATATTAAATAATAATAATAATAAAAGGCAAGCACCTGCCGCTTCCAGCTCGTTAACAATTTCTCCCAAGTTAGTAACACGGGCGGAATGAGCGTCGATATCAGAAAGAACGGCGTCGAGCTGCTTGATCAATTCCACAACGGAACCCACGTCGTGCCTTTATAGTTATAAAATATTTATTATAAATAATAATAATAAAAAGTAGCGATATTGTTAGTAATAGTAATAAATATAAATAAGATGTTTGTAATAATAATAACCCGACAGATGTGGATTGCACATGTTCAATTTTCCCGCTTGCCCATTTCGAATGAATAGAACTTTTCGTTTTAAACTTACGTGCAAGACGCTCAAGTTTTTCAAGTCTTTCATTATCGTTAATAATAATAATATTATTATTATTATTATAAAACTACCTGTCCTTCTCTTTATGAAGAAAAGTATTTCTATTTTTCTCAACAATAGATAAATCATTCCATGCTTTTTGTATATCAGAAACGAGCTTTCCCTCTTCAGGATGGTAAGCAGGACGATTGTTAATTCGTAACTTTTTTTTTTTAAAAAAAGAGTAATTATTAATATTTCCGTAATAAAACTTTACCAAAAAAAATACAACACCACTAGTATTACTTTTTTTCTACTTTTGATTATATAAGTATAAAAAACTTCTAAAAAAGTACTGACCATCGTCTGGAGATTGCTGTAGTGCGCTTCGAGGCCGATTTTCTCTTCGGCCTTCTCTGGCTTTTCATTGGTCTTAAAGTTATTAAACTCCTGAAAACTAACTTTGAACGCTCCCATCGTGGAAAACGGGTCAACTCCAGACAATAACTCGTGCTTTTCTAAAAATATTAACAATAGTAATTTTTCATTATTATTGTCGATAACAATTTTTGAAAATATTATTTAATATTTATTAATTATTGTATAACCATTATTATTATATTCTTTGTTCTATTTATATGTACTACAAGTTTCATAGTAACCTGCAATCCACTTCAGTAGAGAAGAACAGCGCGTTTCATACTCTTCAATCATATCCACGACTTGCTTTTGGAAGGATAAAACATTCTCGATTCGGCGTGAGGCCACCTCGGCTCGATTCGATCCTAGAAAACACAAACACGTGAATTCAACTGATACTTTTCATTTTATAACTTAAAAAAAATAATACATAAAATACCTTTTATTTTATATAATTTTTAAAAATTACTTCAAAATGTTAAATAAAACTTTATAGTTTTGAGTAAATTTTATAAAATTAAAACTAAATTTCTTTTATACTGCTTCAACTTTGTAATTTATAGTAAAATGAAGTTAATAAAATTAAAAAAGTTACCGGCAAAACAATGATAGTAGGCAGACACGTACGTCATGACGGATCGCTCGTCGGGTCGAGAGCTGTTCACCATGTCCTCCGCATCCAACATTTGCGGAATTCCTAAGTCCTCTTCAGCAACCTCAAATTTTGATAAAAAATCATTTTAATTATATTATAAAAAAGTAAAAATATTAAATATTTTAAAGAAAGCAAAGACGAGAGTAAAAATTTTAGCTAAAAATGAAAATTAAAAAAAATTACATTATTACATAATTTACTTTATTATTATAATTAAATATTAAAATTTAAGTAAAACACGAATAAAAATCAAATTCATATAGGAATTTTATATAAAAATGTTAAAAAAAATTTTAATAAACGAAAAAAACTTTTTTTAACAAAATAATGTATTTAAAAAAAAAAATAAGCAAATGTAACAAAACAAATATTTAAAAAGATTTAATTAAAAATTTTATACCAAATTAATTTCTAAAATTTATTATAAATATTATTTTAATACTTGAAATAGTCATAAACTTAAGTATTGAATTTAACAAAAAAAAGTAAAGTATTAAAATTTAAATTATTTCTTTATAAAATTATAAAATTCAAAGGAAGTAGAATAATCATAATAGTTTTTTAAACAAATCTTTTATTATAAAATATATACAACTTTTAATTTTTTCAAAATTATAATTACTTAAAAAAAATTATTTAAAAAATATAATACTAAAATGTAATTATTTTTGTAAAGTAAATTTAAATATAAAGTAAATAAAAAAAGTGAGGGAAATTTTTTTGTAAATTTAATTTGCTGTAAAAGTTTTTATTTTAAGATAAGATTAAAACAAATTACTTCTATCGTAATATTAAGTTTTTTTTAAAAAAATATAATTGTCAAATTTATAAGTATGAAAAACTTTTACTTAATACAAAATTTAAAATTATAACCAAAATCTACACAAATCTTAAATCATTAGAAAAGTTAAGTTTTCTAAAAATTATTTGCTAGCAAAAAAAAGAATTTAAAATATATTTTACTTTAAAATATGTAAATTATAAAAAGAAATAAATTTAAAATTAATAAAAAAAATTTAAAAAATAATTTAAATTCATAAAAATTATATAAAAACTTTAAAAGCTAAGTTAAGACGATCTTTGGAATTCGAAGGAAGATTATTATAATCAAGAAGATCGGGCCGGTGACGATGGATTAATGCACAAAACGCGCGGCCTAAAATTTACAAAATTAATATTTAAAAAAAAATTAAATTATTCCTAGAAAACAATTAATTATTAGAGATAAAAAAATAGAAAAATAATTCCTAATTTATGATAATTATAATAAATTAATATACAATTCAACTCTCGAGATTAAAATTCTTCAAAAGAATAAAAATTTAATACTTTTAAAACAACCGAACCAGTCGAAAAGTTTTTTAATTTTTTTAACAAAATTAAAATTTTAAGGAAAGAGTTTGATTATTTTAAAATTACATACAAAAATGAATAACAGTAAATCATTTAATTACTATTAAAATTATATATATTGTTATAAATTAATCCAATAAAAGTTTTCATATAGTTTTTTCCTAACCATCTTGCCAGCTGGTATGGAAATTTTGTACGTTGCAACCGGAATAACCGGCTGTCTTTTTCTGGCACCACAAAAGTAGTCCGTCCCGTGCGGACATTTCTAATTTTCCATAAAATTAAAATTAAATTAATTATAATTATAATAAGTATGCCTTCGACAGAGATATCGTTGATCTGGAAGTTTAAAATTAAAACCCAAACCATCCCAAGTATCATCTTTAAATTGCAGTCATAAATTTCTTCAGAAGAAATGCCAGCAAGTTTGACTCCCTTTGCTATTTATAAAAAATTATATTTTTATTATTACTATTATTATTACAGTTTAGATTTTTTTTTTTAGACCTGCAATATGATCTAACGCCTTATTAATGTTCTGGATCTTATGAAGTTTCATCTTGCCCTTCTCTGGAGGTGGCAGCTTGTCGCCTGAGATTCTTTCCACAAGTTTCATTAATCTAAATTTTTTTTAAAAAAAATTTGTTATTAACTTAACTTTTTTTTTAAAAAGCTAACTTAGTGCCATCGTTAAACGCTGTAGCAATATCGGTAATTTCGTCGGGCTTATTAAAGTGGGTATTAACCCAAGCAGTAAAAGATTTAATTTGTTGCTTCTGCCAAAGCGCATCCTGCGTTCTACCGTCGTTAGGCTATATTTTGTTAGACATCACTTAAAGCACTTCATAAATTTTATTCAATTATCGTATACCTCAGTGCCTTTTATGATTTCAGTCATAGTTAAAATTTAAAGCTTTTGAAACAGTCTAAACAAAAAATGGTAATTTACTAACAAATAAACTGTTAGTATTAAAAAGAGAAAATTTTTAAATGCTCACAAAAACTAACGTAGAGCAACGTACGATAGGACACAAATTAAGCGCTCTTTTCAAAAGCAAAAAAGAAATAAAGTTTTTTGTTAATATCTAAAATATTTAAGTTTAAACTGAGATAAAGAAGAAATACAAGTGATGATTGCAACCTGCACGCGAAAAGGAAACCAAATTCACTGAAAGGAAGACAGTCGGAAAGTGACCCACACTATATATAACGCTGATCTATCCCGTTTAGCCGTGGCTAATTTTAAAAACTTTTAAATATTCACAGCCGACCTATTGGATATATTTTACTCGTCTACCAAATTATTGGCTATTGCGACTAAAATTCTTAATATAGCTGACATTTATCAGAGGCTAAAAAGTTAGCAAGTAATTAACTATAATTTATACTTTCATTTGATAAAGTGATTTTTGTGATAAAAATAATACTTTGCTTTCAACTAAAGAAGAAACTGATGGAGAATTACTGCATTTTTAATAATAATAATCAAGGATTAATTTGACTTATAATATAAAATCTGGTTTTTTACATTAAAATAATTAGAAGAAGCTATATGCATTTACTTTTATAAAAGATTCAATAAAAAATTGACCATAATTAACTACAATTAGTCGCATAAACATGCTTTCGGCAATAATAGCGTTTGAAGAATGAAATTACTTGATAGCACAAGGAGTTTTAAAAGTTACGGCCCACTCTTAGTAATACTCTGAATTTGCAGGGTGAACATACCTTTTAATAAACATTACATATTGTTTAAAGCAATTTTTGGTTTATGTTTTCTTTTTTTTTCCTTTTAAGTATGAAATGTTTAAAGAGAGATACAGTAATTTGTCAATATATTTATAGCAAAATTAAGGGGTAAATTGTTAGCTAAAGGGTGATGCCTTTCCGAGTCGAGGCTTAATGAGAAATCTAACATTAGATAATTAATAACTGTTACGATATTTTATCAGCAGATGCCGCTGCACTCTGTTCATAGAGCTGCCCAATATGGGACGAAGGTAAATTCTCGTAAAAAGTATTACACTTTTTAGCATAAAACTATAAAGAATGTTAAAAGCTGCGCCCCTTTCGGGTATGTTTATTTTCAAAATGATCTGAAGTACAAGCTTTCAAAAGCTTTTTAGCTTCATTAGAGAGCGCACTGTAAATGATAAGAAACACAAACTGGGAAACTAGTTGTCTGCGACTTAAACCTTTTAGAAAGGTTTTCTGTTTCATCATTACAAATTTCGATAGAATTACCTATTTGGTCTATATAATATTAATTGACCACTGGTAAAAGGTTTATGCGTGGTGGCAGTCAAAGATAAGCCAATATTTAGTAGCTCTGCATCACCAGCGCACTTATCACCGAGACGTTTATTTTCAAATACAAACTTAGTTTAGTGTTTCCAGTATAATCATATTTATAGGCGCACAGACATAAAAGACAGTTTCTAGTGAATACCCCCTTCAAACTGTGGATAGAAACTATAACCAACTATCTGTATCCGACGACAACTAAAACAAATTATGCTGCGAAAGACTAGAGAAAAAGCTACTTAGAGAACAAAAAAATCATTATGCACTTATGTACATATAAACAAGCTTTAAAATTAAGTAAACTTTTAACGACTTCTACTGCTCGATTTTTATTAATGATATAAACAACTTTTTGGTCAAGTAACTCATGATCCATATAACTGCATTACAAAATAACATCTATGTGCAGCTTAAAAGTTTATAGTATGAAATTATTGTCGAAAGATTAAAAGCATAACTATAATTGTAACATCACTTTACACACGCTTAGCTCCCAAAAAAGCAAAGTAGGGAAAAGTAAGCTTTACTCCAATTGACGTGGATATTAATGGTGTTCAGCTATTGCAATTTAGAAAATTAGTTAAGTCCCTATGGTAGCACGAATAGCGGCTATTATTGCTAGTCCAGAAAAAGTAAATGACATACGTATTTACTTTAATAAACTTTTTAATCTATTTCTTCTGCTAGGATGTGATAAGTAGTTTGCTTATCGTTTAACAGAAACTTTTCAGGCAAGAAGTCATGGAATACTATTCAATAAAGGAATCGCTCTTAAATTAAAAACAAAAAAAATGGCAACACCGAAGCAACTATTCGTGGACGCTATGTAACTGTAAAATACAAAATTACGTGGCGCGTAGCGAGTGGATGCATGAAAGTAACGAATGAAAAGGGTAAGTTTTGAATGATGTTAAAAAAATACATCGGTAACATTTAGTGGTTATGGGGTGCCATTAAGAAAACGGACTGCCAAATTTCATATTTAATCTTGAAATAAAGCAAAGAGATAAATGAGATAAGACCAAATACTGTGAACCTTTGAGAAGTATAGATAATTTTATAAATTAACATTTTTCCTCTCCGTCAATTTTACGTTGTTTTTAAGAGTTACACACCAACTTGCCAACACGTGTTTTTCAATAAATAAATAAATCTAATATTTTTAAGCTTTAAGATGGGCTCTATCCAATCATCACCTAGACTAAAAACTATCATAAAAAATGAGTTTGAAGTTAAATTGTGCTCAAATTTTATCATTTCCTTTCTAAATCTCTACAAAGCAAATATACACGCCAGTGAAGTTAAATGAAATTTAATAAATTACATTCTCACATTAAAACTCTGCCTTAACACTTTAATGTATTTGCGTGATCTACAAGTTAAGTCGCTTTTTCCATTTTCCTATGTTAAGTTGCAAACTCGTTGACTGAATAGTGAGATGTTATTCTTCATCCCTTATTTTTTTTCTCTAAGCTAAGTTTTAATAGCGTCATATCTCTATCGACCACTTATTATATATACGGTTAAGCAAAGTGAATTTAACAAGAAGCAACTCTTAATTTTGTATAATTTACACAGGCGACGGATAGCTCGTGCGAAATACGCTAATTGACTACATTTCGGATTTAAACAGTTAAAATAATTTTATATTAATAAATTAAGTGATAGTTAGTTATAAAATATACTTAATTTTATTAATTTACTTTACTAATAAAATTCGGCATGGTGAATGACTATATTCTGATGGGGTGGCGAAAGTTATATTAAGATAGAGAAGAGATGAAACGAGAACAATTATTATATTCTACAAAAGGAAAATTTGGTAACAAAAAAGTGGGGAAGAGCTCCTCTTCGATGCCCTGCACCTTATCTACCTTTAGGAATTGATAAGGATGAAAGTTACTAAGTGACAAGATTACTTACATTTTCTTGCAGAGGTGGCGAGAGAAGAATAAGTACGGTGCATAACCAACAAATAAAAACCAACTGCTTGAGCTATACAAGTGCTTTTCAACACTGCGTAATGTATATCATCTATAAAATAACTGAGTTTTTCTTATATAGATTATACTGATTATTATATATTTTATAATTAATTTTAAAATTGATGATATATGGCATACTAAAACATGCAAACGTGCTTCAATGTTCTCTTGATTTTAATAGACTAGTCTATTATACTAATTTTTCAGAAATTGTGACCATCAGAATACGAAGTTTGACCTTGTTAAGCTACTTGATTGCTAATAATAATTGGGTAACCCATTTACTAGTAATAAGGGTTGTGCTATAAATAAGTTATTGTATAGAGGCAATTGTTTAGTTGTATCCGAAAAGAACACCTTCTTTTAGTAGTTATGTTGTTCCATAAACCTTCCTTTAACCATAACTTTTTTTATAAGTCAATTGAAATTAATAGCATTTTCAGTTTGTATAAGTGTGAGGGTGGATAAATTGAAAGCACGAATATTTGATCAGTGGTAAATGCCATGCACACCACATCTGTCTTGCTATTTTTAGGTGATGCGCGCTGTGCTCCTCAAGCAGCTCAAATTTATCAAATTGTTGATTATACATAGTTTTTTTGTATTTCGATAAACCTATACCATACATTTTTGTTTGTACTTAGTATATATATATCGAAACGTAAAGCCTTTAAAAATTATAATATAAGATACATGTGATTTGCTATTATACCTGCCAGACTAATATAAATTTATATTATTTTTAACTCCAGTTAACTATCACGTGAAATATTCCCCCAGAAAAGTTTTTATTGGTGATATAAGATATTTTATTTATAAGAGAAATAAAGAAATAGTAACTTAAAAGAGTTTGCAATCAAGAGTTATTTAGCGATCTATTTTTGAGCTTCTCTCCCCAGTTTTGGCACAATTAACTCTTTGCACATACTGCAGAGGATAAGTAGTAAGAGAAGAACGGTGCACATTAACTTACAAAACTGATCAGCATTGAAAGCAAAGAATAAGGATAATCACATACGGAAAAATTAATTTTAAGAGATTGCAGAGAAAGACTGCATCCATACTACTCTTTTCTAAGAATGTGTATAAAAATTGAAAAATTTACTCAATCTAAGACAAATTAATAGTATTTTCGCAAGTGTGAATAACAATTCAAACCTTTAAACAGCTAGAAATATAAAAATAATAAGCAAATCATTCAACTCCCATCATTCAAATTCTATAAATCGATGAAATTTATTACTATTAATTTGGTACAACCGTCTTCGCACCATAGAGTGGTATTTCTTTTTACACGTTTCTTCTTGAGAGACAGATTTTTATTTATACCAACATAGCTACTTAGTATAGTTTAAACAGCCACGAACGGAAACTATTTCACTTGCTGTATTGCATAAAAGTTTCTATCGTTTGCAATTTCTATACACTTAAAAATTAAGTTGTCTTAGCGTCACAACTAACCTCATTTTAATTATTTACTTTTTAGGCAGAGTCAAAATGGCATAGTATCCTCCAATGATAAACGTAATTTGGTATAATTACCAATTAAAAATGTTAATATGTAAGCCTGAAGCCCTTTCGCTATGGGTGGTTTTATTTCGAGCTATCGTAGTTATCAGGTCAACCTCTAGTATATTGATCAATTTTTTTATAATATTTTTAAAATAGAATGGACGCAGAAGGAAATAAGGTTGTCGTTTGTGATAATGGCACTGGGTTTGTTAAATGCGGTTTTTCCGGTACTAATTTCCCGGAATATATATTTCCGTCCATGGTCGGGCGTCCTATTCTTAGATCAAAAGACAGAGTTGGTGGCTTTGAAATAAAGGTAAATTTTTAGTAAATAATTACTTAACATTCATTATTTATTAAAATAAAGTGTTCGATTTATAAATTATTTATACTCTATACAGGACTTAATGGTTGGAGAGGAAGCTGCTGCAGCACGGCAAATGCTTGAAATTAATTACCCCATGAAAAACGGGATCGTAAGAAAGTTAATAATTTAAAATTCATTTGTAATATAACGCCTTATAAAAGTGCTAATAGTTTAAATATACTACATTCACACTTTCTTTTCTTGTGAAATCAGCTGGGAGGACATGGAGCATGTGTGGGACTACACTTTTGAAAAACTCCAAATTGACCCAAAACATTCGAGGATCCTTCTCACCGAGCCGCCCATGAATCCACTTGCAAATCGCTCAAAAATGGTCGCCAAGATGTTTGAGAAGTATGGCTTTGCCCACGTTACCGTCGCCATTCAGGCCGTCCTTACTTTGTGTGCTCAAGGCCTGCTGACTGGTGGATTTTCTTATTATTATAGGGACGTGTTTGGTCTTATTGCTGATAATTTGAGGGGTTTGTGTTGATTCTGGCGATGGAGTTACGCACATTGTCCCCGTCTATGAGGGATACGCTCTACCCCAGGCCGCTCGGCTGGACGTGGCGGGGCGAAATATTACTTCTTATTTGATCAAGCTCTTGCTTCTTCGTGGTTACGCCTTTAACAAAACGGCCGATTACGAAACGGTCCGTCAGATTAAAGAAAAACTCTGCTACGTCGGCTACGACCTTGAACAGGAAATAAAACTTGCCAGGGAAACGACGGCGGTCTCGGAGAAGTACACGCTTCCTGATGGGCGGGTCATTACCCTCGGCGAGGAGAGATTCAGTGCCCCCGAAGCACTTTTCCAGCCTCGTTTGGTTGACGTGGAAAGCTTGGGCGTGGCAGAGCTGTTGGTTAAGACGATACAGAGCACAGACTTGGATGTCCGCCCGGAGCTTTACAAGCATATTGTCCTTTCTGGTGAACATATTAGGCGTGTTGCGCACCCCTCTTCCTGATAAGTTTATATAAAAGGCGGGAGCACTATGTATCCTGGTTTGCCGTCCCGCTTGGAAAGAGAAATTAAACAATTATATTTAGAACGCGTCCTTAAAAATGACACCAGCGGCCTCTCCAAGTTCAAGTTACGCATAGAGGACCCGCCAAGGCGAAAACATATGGTCTTTCTCGGCGGCGCTGTTTTGGCTGAACTTACAAAAGATAATCCGAAGATGTGGATCTCTAAAAAGGAGTATAACGAAATGGGAGAAAAGGCGGTTCAAAAGTTATTTGTAAAGTGACATTCTCTGCAATACGTATAGTAAAAAAAAGGCCCCTTTTTGTTATTATTATTACTTTTAGGGTTGTTCATATGTAACACGTAACCTTATCGCACTTTGTATTTTATTAAAATCATTTGCGGTGCTTCTTATTTAGCGCTGCACAGTATAAGCTAAAGCCCTTGGCTAAAAAAGTATGAGGAGTTTTTAGTGAGCCTTTTAACTAGCCTGCTGTTAAAAAAAAAAAATTATGTAATATCAAATTCATCTGTATAATTAAGCCCACACACCAAAAGGATTTGGCCGTAGTACGTTTGTATTTAAAGAAATAATGAATTCTCATAAGCATGGAAAAAGTGTATTCGGACCTTTATATGCACTGGTTGTTAATTTCAGCTTCAGGTTCGGGTCAACAAATATAGTTTATAATGAGGACTGTACTTTTAGTAATAAATAATATGACTAAGTAAATACCTTTACTCGAAGTGAGCGTTAGTTAAAGTATGTAAGTTAACTTTCTAAATAAGTGCCACATATTTTACCTAACTAGTTGAAGAAAAATATCGACTTGCGTAAAACTCGCTCTTTAAAGATTATAATTAGAGACGTAAAGGGTATACCACCTTTTTTTTTTTCCTTATTACAACACAGTTGAGCCTATGTTTCTCCTGTAAAACTTTTACAAGCCGTTAACCCAATAATTTTCGTGCAGCTGTACATAAATGATTTCTTTTCATATGTAAATTTATCAGTTTAAAAGCTTTCATAGCTGGCCGGTTGTTTACTTTTTTTTTAAAAGAAAATTATTTTACTTTTGTAAGATTTTATTGTTGTCCAGCAAAATTTAAAAATGTTGCCTGTGGTTGCTGTTCCCTTTCAGTTATTGTTCTAACGGCTTCGCATTTTTACTAGTAGTCTGGCTGTTTGCTTTAAATAAGTTTTCCAAGTTACTAATAATACACTAATTTTCTTTTCGTTGTCTAATTTTTTCTAATTTAAGTTTTGTTTTTTCAAAATCTGTTTTTTTTCCAATTTTAAACAATATATTAGTTTTTCTATATTATTCTTAGCTTTGTCGTTGCAATTTTTAATATTGCAACCTTGTAGGAATTTCGGCCATTAATTTCGTTTAGAGAGAAAAAAGGTATGACAATTTTATCTTCTCATTACTACGATAAGTTAAGCAGCATTTAACCAACAATTTTTTACGGATAGAAACGCCTCATTAAAGCAAAGGTGCGTTACGTACCTTAAGATTAATGGCTCAAATGGTTTAACTGTACTTGATATTATTCAGGAAGATTAAACTTTGTCTCAATAAGTGCACAAGAAAAGAGCAGAAGAACGCCTAAGTTGACTAAGTACAAAACTTGATTATCTTAATAAATTTTACCTTAGCTTAAACTAGGTAGAACTTTGCACTAAAGAAGCGTAACGATACCCTGATTATTACTGTAAGGGTAAGAATATAAGGATTGGATAATGTTCATGGTTCCTAAAAGGAGTACATTGGTGATAGACACTAAAAACTTCATACTTAGATATAATGAATGAAAAATCTATATGCTAGGTTTGCACTAAACGTACACCGTAACCCTATGAGAATTAACTACAATCCTGCGCTTTTTTCTTGAGTGAAATAAAAAACTTTTATCTTCACGATGGCTGCCATCAATAAGATACTGGTTAAAGAGGCTGCGCTAGAAGAGCACGTATTTATATTTATAAACCGAGCATTTTTAGGGGAATGTCTCGTAAGCTAGGGCAGTGTGTAAAACTACAGGACCTTATGCACGAGAAAGTTTTTACTTTCGGTGAAAGTCTTTTGAACGACTGTAAGACTCATTGATAAGTTAAGGGTGTGAACGTGTGAAAAGTATCTAAAACTAGAAAAAAGCTTCTTATTACATAAATATTTAGTTAATCTAGCAAGTCAAAAAGTGCGTTGCCCCCAAGTTCATTCGAATAACGAAGGGCCACCTGTTGGATTGTTGGATAAAGTGAAGCCTTGTTAAAACTATTATTTTACTATTTCTAGATATATCTATAATATATATATAATGTTACTTTGGTTTATTTTGTTACCAAAACAAAAAATATATTATTTTATTTAAAACAGTTTATACATTATATAAAATGTAAGAGGTCCGTAATCTTTTTCAAAGTTTTTGTTCAGTTATCCTAACCATTTCATAGCAGCTATTAAAACAATTTTAAAATTGTTTCTTAGTTTATGTATCTTATCATTTGCATTCACATATTTATCCTAACCAACTTTATGAACACCATTTTTAATTTTATAATAATAAAAATTGTGTACAAATAATTTTATTTTTATTTTTCTACATAACTCAGTTACTCTAAAATTTACTTACTTTTTTAAAAAATAATTTGGAAAATTTCTTTTAATAAAAACGCCAAAAAAAAACTTTGATAAATTGAGCTCAACAATTTTTTATCCAAGTTGTTATATATTTAAAAATATCGGCTCAATTTTGCAAATATTAATTTGCTATTTAAGATTGTCATTTAGCTTTTAAATATACCTTTAAATCCTTTATTAATAAGCACTAAGGTTAACAAAAATAAACTATTCTAATTTATTTTAACATTATTTATAAATTAAATTTACTATAAATTATTCATCTAATAATGTTAAGCTTTTTTACTTTGTACTATGTTTATTGAAATAACAAAATACACGTATATGAAAATAACTTATATGAATCGCAGCACTATAAATGAGAGGAAACACAAACCACTGCATTTAGCTTTTTTAAGAAAATAACCTTGAAAACTCTTAAGTGTTTTTTTTTTATTCCAAATCATGACTAAAATTCTGACGGCGCCTTATTCAAAGAGCTCACTTATAATAAAAAGTTAATTTTAATAATGGTCTTTTTGTGTTCTCTTGTTTCTTAATAAAATAAATTTATACTTATTTCAAGGGCCAAACTTAAATATAATTGCAAAAGTTGACATCGTTGCGTTCAATGTCATAGAAAACGAGTTCTATTAATTACCATTTAAAATCTTTTGGAGGAAAAATCGACTTTGGGTTCAGCGCAGAGGATATATAAGGAAGGAGATGGGTTATACGCAACTAAATAGTGTGTGGGTAATCTTTATAATATCAGTTGCGAAAAAATTAGAAACATGCTCAACTCAGTAAGGAACAAAAAGGTTGTGGAACCAGGGGTTTATCCAACCTAATGCGCAAACATCAAACTATTAAGGCTATTGCCTTTATAAACGAGCTTTTTAATTCGAGGGTTAACTAACACGTCGCCTGAAAAGTTTTGGGGGGCTCACTACATATGCCCCCTTCTATAAAGCACCTATACCATTCTCAGTTAGTACCAACCTTCTAATGATACGGGTCAAATTTTAATGGTCTCTCGTCCTTTAAATAAAACTTTTTATAATTTTTGTGACTTTATCTTTGTTATTCAAAAAACTAAAAAAAAGAATTTCGAGTGTTGATTAAGCATTGTTTTTGAAGGGGAAAAATACCGTACAAGCTCAGCAATGCATTGAAAAGTGTTATATGGAAAATCTGCTCCTTAGCAAAAAATTCTTTATCGGTGATTTGCTGAGTTTAAACGGGGCCGTACGGAAACAAATGATGCTGAACTCTCTGACTGCCCAGATGAGGTAATTACTCTAGAAAATATTTAGAAAGATACAAAAATTTTTCGTTGACTATTGTAAAGTGAAGTTGCTTGAGTTAGCTGACATCTCAAATATAACAACGGGGCGTTTAAGTTTTATTTTTAATGAACAACTGGGCCTGAGAAAACTGTTCAAAATGGGTACCGCTTTGGGTCACAGTGAACCAAAAAAACGTCTAGATGATTCGGAACGCTCTTCGCAGTGGTTTAAACGAAATAAAAAGGGTTTTTTTGTGCGATACGTAGCAATGGTTAAACCTGGATCCTTTATTACACTTCAAAGTCCAATCGGCAGTTAGTTGTGTGGAAAGCAAGGGGTGAAAACCGCTCAAAGCGACCAAAGACGCAACAGGCTGCCAAAAAGGTTATTGCCTCTGTATTGGGGAATGCACTTGGTTTAATAACCATCGACTACCTTGAAAAAGGAGTAACCATAAATAGAAAATATTATATAACACTTCTGGTTCGTTTAAAGAGAAAAACCACATAAACCCACCCAAATGGCGAAGATCAGTTGTCCCATTAAGACAAATCGCCTCTCAAAGTCGATGGTTACGACTGCAAAGTTGCATACACTGAAGTTCGGTTTAGATTCTGCACCCACTGTACCCTCCAGATCTGTTTCCCCAGCGACTGCAAAAAAAATAGTTTTGTGTAATTAGTTAGCTCCGGGACCTTGTCAAGCGACCTGTTATATCCTACTTTCAACATCGTTGGAAGTTAAAAGAAGTTGTTCTAGTAACTAAATTAAAAAACTAGAAAACTTATTCGAGACTACCGACCAATAAGTTTATTATTCCTGCAGAGGTTGAATTGCAGAGGCTGTGATACTCGCTACCTTAAATAACTTGGCGAAAGAAAAAAACACTACAGAGTGTCAACTTGATTCCCGTGAAAAGCACTCTACATCTCAACAGTTTCCTAAAACTTTCAGAATGTATTATTATAGCTTTCAACTATTGAAAATATACCCAGTAGTATTTTAAGACGTTGAAAGAAGCCTTCGTCAAAGTTGGGCGTAGAAGTCTCGTCTACAAGATTGTCAATAAGATGACCAAATTTCACTTTCCTTTGTTCTTAATCCTGATGACATAAAATTATTTATTAATGGAAAATTCACAGTTAATATAGGAACAGTTAATTCAAATCTGAGAAATTTTATTGCTAGAGTCTCTCAAGGATTACTTTTATCGTCTCTTCTATTCGCGATTTACATTGCAAAACGCCCAACTCAAGTACCCATCGCGAGGGAGACCCAGTTATATTCTGCGACTCTAAATCGAAGGCACTGGCTACTAAACATTTACAATTTTATTTGTACACTTTGGAAACCTGGTTTACTATTTTAAAGCTAACTTTTATTGCTTCCAAGATAGC